AGAAAAGCAGAAATAAGCTACTTAAAGGAATAGTTAGAAGCAACCCCCTTTCCTGGTGAAGAAATGAAAGCTAGGAGAGACTTAGAAACATGTATGAAATCTTTAATTACCATACCACTCCATTTACACAGGAAAACAAAAGGTACAAGATTTCTACAATATTTTAAACTGATGAGATACATTAATGACATTTGTAAAAATGAAATCATCCTTACTCCTCCAATGTGTGCTGTCAAGTAACTTCATACACACAGACCTTAGAACAGATCAGCAAATACTAAAGCCAAGCCATGACTCCCAAAAAGAGGTACACACTGTACACGATCGAATGCAAAAGGAATTTTATCCCTCAAACCCAGCACAGCGCTGGCTAAAACTGTTAACCTGGTTCTGCTGTGGAGAAACACAACGTGCATTACTGAATCATTTCTTTTCAAATCCATACATTCCCTGCAGCAGTTCAAGCTTCATCAGCAGTGCAGGAATGTATGAAAATGACAGGCAAAGGGCACTAGCTCTTTTCCCATACAGTTCTTCTATAAATGGAAGCAGAGTCCTACAAAGCACTTAAAGCTGAGAATGTTTGAAGACTGATCTCCAGGAAAAAAATAACACAATGCTAGGTTCCACAAGCAGATTAATTATTCCGTTTTCTGCAAAACTGTTTCCATTAAATGAAAGGACAGAGAGGAAACCAACTACTAGAAAATAATGGAACACTAGCTGGGTCTCATTGGCAAAGTTGCCATGAACAAAGCATATACGAACACAGATATTTCATATGCTATTCTTAAAAATACTTCTCAGCCCTTTTGGGAGCACTTGCTCCTGAATTCACTTTTCCCTCTGCCTCTCAGCAAGGGAGAGAAAAAGGACAGGCTTGGCAGAAATCCTTTAACAGCCTCAAGTTACTTTGATTAAACTTTGATTTACCTTAAAAATTACACCTTATATCAGTAGCATGTTATAGAAACTTTAAAATACACCAGTCATGATTAAAAGACTCTGAAATATTTAATGTATGCCATGTTGATAAGCTGGTTAGACAATCAAATGAAAGCGTGCTATATCACAACACAGCAAAAAACTTGCATGCTTATTGCTAAAATTGTGAGCTGCTTTCCAGCTTTTTTTTCTTCTGTTGTTTCAGCAGTTAACACAAATCCACAATGGGAAAAAGATGGGAAAAAGAAAAAAAAAAAGTCTTAATGGCAGCCCTTCGCTGCTACATTGTCATACTGAGTGTGAAGAAAATACCGTGGCACATCCATTGCCTGCACGGCTGGATTTACACCCGCCCGAGCTCCCTGCCGTACGAGCGGGAGGGGGCAGGAGGAGCCAAGGCAAGAGCAAACACTGCAAACCGCGTCCCCTTCACAGTATCTTTTTACAGAAGCCCCCGCTAACAAAACACTATAGCTCCAGGCAGCGGCATGCTGATGTTGGCACTGCTTAAACCAAACAAACACGATGTTTAACAGTCAAATAAAATGTCCCGCAGCCTCCCTAATGAATTTGTCAAGGACCATCAGATCACCCCCCGCCCCTGCCTCATTAACTCAAGTATGATGAGACGGATTATAACGAGAGAATACAGATCAATCGGTCTGAAGACTTCAAGTGGCTTTTAGCCCTGAGAGTTTCCCTCTCTGCGGCACACGCACGCACACGGTCTTTTTTAATGGAATACAGTATCTCCTGCTGCCGGAGGGGATGCCACTTCGTTTCATACACCATCAAGGAGCTGCTGATGGACTTCTACACTAACATACATAAAAGCAGAGGTGACAAGGTCTCTTCAATTATAGCCTCCTCCGATCCTATTCCCCCTTCAATTATTCATCCTGGCGAGAGCGAATTCCGCCACAGATGAAGCTGGTCTTAATGCAGTGCGGCCACAAACGCCTAGACACGGGAGAGAAGGATTTCACATGCATTATTTGCTGGAAGTGTTTAAGTTTATTGCTCAAATTATGTTTCTAATTAGCGTTGGAGCAATAAATTAAAGTCAGCTTTTGTTTAGCTGATTTATTATTTACTAGGGCTTCAATCTCAGGCAGGAAAATTGGTAATGAATTGTTTTAAATCTGAACATTGGTAACGCTACATCATTAGGCACCTTTCCGGGGGGAAGGGGGGGTAGGGAAGAGTTAGGAAGGGAATCGCCCCCTCCTCCTGCTTTTACCTTGAAAAAAGGAACGCGTGTGCCCCCGCCATTGCCAGGGCCGCCCGAAGGCTCCGGCAACCTCCTCCACGCCCAGGACACGGTCACCCATAGCATGGACGCTCTCTGCGGGAAGCGAGACCCCGCAGAGTCCTCCTGCCCACCTCTGCTCGGAAGGTGGGGTTGCAGACGCCCCGCCGGCGCGGAGAGCGGAGCTAGCCCGGCAGCGAGTATGTCCCGGGAGCTTTGACGGTGGCATGTGAAAGGGACCCCCAGCCGTAGCTAACTCTTCGCTTTGCCGGAGGGCAGCGGAAGGCGAGGCGGGGGACCGTGGCAGCTCCGCCGGGCCAGCCGAGCCGCGCAGAGAAGCTCCCGTAAGCAGCGAGCCTCCGAGCGCCCCGGGCGGGTGCGGCCGCGGGGAGCGGGCAGCTCGCTGGCACTTACCGGTGCCCCGGGCTGGAGAGCCCCGCTCCAGCCCGCGCACCCCCGGGACACCCCAGAGACTGTGCGAGCAGCGGCGCCAGCGCCACTCTGCCCTCGTGGCAGCCTGCCCCCTCTCCCTCACCCCTCGGAAGCTGCTCGCCTCGGAGCCTTCCCTGGGCTCATCTCCCTTCCGACAGGGCCGGGCCCGGCGGGGACACCTGACACCGCCGCCAGCTCCTGCGGGCACCGAGGGCCGCCGGGCCAGCCTCCCTGTTTCCCGGCGCAGAGTGCCCCGGCGGCAGGCAGGGAAGCAGTCCTCTCCTCGCGAAGGACGGAGCCTCACCGGCGCCGGGCATGTCCATACTTACTTCTTCCAGCGGCACGGTCGGCACCAGACATGTTTCTAATTTAAGCGCACACAGAAAACAGACGGCATTTTCTTTATTAAAATCAGTCAGTTGCAGCGAAAGAAGGAGAGCGCAAGGAACCGAGCCCAATCGCTGCGAGCGGCTTAGCGGGAGGCTCTGCATGGAGGAGCGCACCGTGCGTCCGCACGGGCACGGCCCCGGCCCCAGCGGGGCTCCCGGACGGCACGAGCTGCCCCACACCGCGGGACTGCACGGCCCGGGGAGGGCAAAGCAGCATCCTTACCCCGAGTACCGGAGGTGTGGAAATTGCCCTGCCTTCCATCCTAACTTCCCGCAGGAAAAGCAGATCTGCCTCCTCCGCAGCAGGTACTGCCTTGCGGCTCCTTCTGACTTGACACTACAGAGCTACGGCTTTAATGCCCAAACCATTCCATAGTCTTATTAATACAAACTTGCATAAAATATCGTTTTCTTTCGAATAACTCAAACCTACGCTTTAGGAGGATGAAAAGAACTTTATGGCACAAGATTTATCTAAATTAAGATGACTGGGGGCAGTAAAACAAGGTGTGCCACGGTACTTCGTTGACGGTCTCACTTTCACTGCTGCAGCCCGGCATTAAGCGAAAGATTTATGCCTGCGGTGAAGCTCCGACCCGCCTTTCCCCTTTCCCCGCACACGCCGGCACTGCCGCCGGGTCCCCTCGCAGCGAGCGGAGGGAGCAGCGAGCTCACCTCGCCCTTCACCGGCCGCCAGGGCGAAGTTAGAGGGATTTTTTTGTTTCCACCGCGCCAGGTGGCGGGCCGCTCCGAGCCTCCCTCCCGGCTGCCCCGCGGCCCATCCCGGCTCCGAGCCCCGGCGCGGAGCGGACGCGGGGCCGGGGGCGGGAGCGTGGGCGCGTGTGCGCGCGCCGGGCGTCGCGATTGGCCGCGGCGCTGACAGTTCGGTGGCGATTGGCGGCGCAGCCCCACCCCGCGCCCGCGCGCGGCCCCATTCATAAACTACGGGGCCCGGCGGCAGCGCTGCGAGAGGGACGCGGGCACACGGCGCTGCAGGAGCGGAGCCAGAGGCGCGGACACTGGGAGCCTCGGCGCGCACTTCCAGGGGTGGGGAGGGGGAGGAGAACCCATCCCGGGCACGGCAGCTACGCCCTCCTCCCGCTCAGGATAAAACACAGTCTGTGCAAAGAAAACAAACAAACAAACAAAAGCAACAACTCCTCTCCATACAGTCTCTCTCACAACAATCTATGTAGAGCTACAGGACGGGAATGAGAGATCACAGACCAAGTGCACCCGTCTGCGCCTAAAGATAGAGACAGCCACAGAGCCGGGCTCAGCCAACGCCTCCAGCAGGAAAAGGGAAATCAACAACACCCCCTGACAGTCTGAGCGAGCAGCAGCCAAACTCATGCACATCTCTGGCGGTGCCACGGACTGAAAGAGAGAGAGAGAGAGGCAGACAGACAGACACAGAGTTCACTCTTCCGCTGAGGGCATTGTTCGCATTCTTCTCCTCCTCTCGTACCGTGTGCGGTTTTAAACTTCGCCGCCGACCGGCTTTTCTGCGGGGACCTTCTGCGAGTCCTGGGGAAGTTTGTTTGTTGTTTTGGGGTTTTTTTCCATGAACTCTTGAAACGGTATTTTTGTGTCGCTGCGCGGGGGGGTGGGCGCCTGAGCGCAGAGGCAGCCCAGACTTCCCTGCCCCCATCGCCATCCAAAACTTTGCGCTCCGGGAGCCCGCGGGGGCTGCCCGCCTCTCCGGCACCGGCACCGGCTCCGGCATCACCAGCACCGCCGCCGAGCCCGCACCGGCCCACTCCTCCTCCTCCTCGCCGGGGCAGCGCTGGGCTTCGCTCCTTTGTGCTTCGCCGCCCTCCCCGATTTCTTTAATTACTCTCACTGGCGCGCCGCTGCTGCCTTCTTCCCGGAGGCGGTGGGGGTCTGCGATTTGGCTGGTGCCCTCCGCAAAGCTGCAGCCACCGCTAAAGCATTGGATCCCTCAACGTACTGCGAGAGCCCGGTGTACAGCCCGGACCTGTGCCCCAACATGATCGCCGCACAGGCCAAGCTAGTCTACCAGCTCAACAAATACTACACGGAGCGCTGCCAGGCGCGCAAGGCGGCCATCGCCAAGACCATCCGGGAGGTGTGCAAGGTCGTGTCGGACGTGCTGAAGGAGGTGGAGGTGCAGGAGCCGCGCTTCATCAGCTCCCTAAGCGAGATCGACGCCCGCTACGAGGGGCTGGAGGTGATCTCGCCCACCGAATTCGAGGTGGTGCTCTACCTCAACCAGATGGGCGTCTTCAACTTCGTGGACGACGGCTCCCTGCCGGGCTGCGCCGTGCTCAAGCTGAGCGACGGCCGCAAGCGCAGCATGTCCCTCTGGGTGGAGTTCATCACCGCCTCGGGCTACCTGTCGGCCCGCAAGATCCGCTCCCGCTTCCAGACGCTGGTGGCTCAGGCCGTGGATAAGTGCAGCTACCGGGACGTCGTGAAGATGATCGCGGACACGAGCGAGGTGAAGCTCCGCATCCGGGAGCGGTACGTGGTCCAGATCACGCCCGCCTTCAAGTGCACCGGGATCTGGCCGCGCAGCGCGGCGCAGTGGCCCATGCCCCACATCCCCTGGCCCGGCCCCAACCGGGTGGCAGAGGTGAAGGCGGAGGGCTTCAACCTGCTCTCCAAGGAGTGCTACTCGCTGACGGGCAAGCAGAGCTCGGCCGAGAGCGACGCGTGGGTGCTACAGTTCGGCGAGGCCGAGAACCGGCTGCTGATGGGCGGCTGCCGGAACAAGTGCCTGTCAGTGCTGAAGACACTGCGCGACCGGCACCTGGAGCTGCCCGGACAGCCCCTCAACAACTACCACATGAAGACGCTGCTGCTGTACGAGTGCGAGAAGCACCCGCGGGAGACCGACTGGGACGAGGCGTGCCTGGGCGACCGGCTGAACGGCATCCTCCTGCAGCTCATCTCCTGCCTGCAGTGCCGGCGCTGCCCCCACTACTTCCTGCCCAACCTAGACCTCTTTCAGGGCAAACCTCACTCGGCCCTGGAAAGCGCTGCCAAACAGACCTGGAGGCTAGCCAGAGAAATCCTCACCAATCCCAAAAGCCTCGACAAGCTATAGGGTTAACACGCCTGCCCACAAAAATTTGCCCTCCGTAAACAACAACAGCGCCCAAAAAACTTTTTATTTAACGCGAACGACGACAGAAAGAGGCGGCGAAAGACGCGCCCCCGCCACCCCCGCAACCACCTGCAGTTCGTCCTTTAAAAACTTGCCGACGGTTTTCCCGGCATAAACTCCCACCGCCTTGCACAGAAGAAGGGAAGAGCCTCTCTCCTCCTGTCCTCCAATGTAAATTTTTAAAAGGTCACAAAAAGAAGCGAATCGGACTTTTGCAACTTCAAAACGAAACCCGAAAGGTACATTTTCCAATCCATGTATAGTCCTTTTCTTATGTTCTCTTGTTTGCCTGAATGTTGTCACCAAGTGAAAAAAATTATTTAACTATATGTACAAATCTCCCTTTAAAAAAGTTTTACTGTTAAGTGTATTTCTGTGCCAAGGTCAGATTATGTGCCCCACAACTGACTTGTTGCAAATAGTAATAAAAATATTACTTAACTTTACACTGACTTTTTGTGAATGGTTCTTAAATTTAGGCAAATAGATTCTTTCTGAACCTCAGAAGGAATATTTTTTTAAAATAAATGAAACCATGAGATGTAAAGATAAACACAACACCAAGCCCAAGTCTTAGCTCAGCATATTGACTCATGTTTTTTAAACCTCCTTCTAGTTTCGATTAAAAAAAAAAAAAGTGTATCTAAGAAAAAAAAATCATATATATTCTGTAGGTCAGCATGTGACAACATCTGCTGTATTCGTTGCTCTAAGGTCCTGTTCTAAATCTTGTAATATATGAAGCATCGCACAGCAGCTCGCCACAGTTTAGTGAGAATTACAGCATGCCTTTTCCTACCCTACAGTCGGTTTTTTTTCCCTTTAATTTTTTTTCCTTATGATATTCCTTGCTTCTATTTTTCCCCGGTAAATCTCGAGCACTGCATTTTGTTTTAAAAATCCATCACTGTTTGCTTTCGCTTCCCAGAGCGAACGCGCTATCCATTTGACTTTGACACGAAGGAAGTATAGATCTACCCTGAATAATTAATGCGATTTAGAGCAACCGGTCGATACTTTTTTAAACAAACATTTGTTTTTGCCCTGATTTCTAAGTACAGCATAAAATCGCACCGCAGCATAGTCAGACGGGGAGATAAACGGAAACCCGGCAGGAAACCACCCGATCCTACACCGACACCCGGGCTCTCTCTGCCGATCTCCTCTATCCCAGCCCCTCTCCCAAAGCAAAGCTCTGCCTGATTCCCCGTAGCTATTTCGCTTTAAGCTTGCTCGGGACGACTGAGAAATACGAGCAGGATTTTTATCGGGAACGCATTCCTATGATTTAAAAACATTAGCGTTACCCGCTCGACCTGCCCGAAAGATTGCAGCGCCAGAGCATTTCGAGCAAGTTTTCATCTCATGCGCCGGGGGGAGGTTAAAAAAAAAAAAAAAAAAAATCTAGTTCTTGCCCCAAAGGACTATTTTCGTTTCCTTTTGGACAGAGACGGAAAGAAATAACCGTTCAAACTTGAGCTGCTTTTCCCTTTAAGTCTGAAAACGAAATCCTCGATGGCGGCAGCAGCCGGGGCGATGGAGCGGGGTGCGCGGGGCCACCCTGGCCGGCGGAGCGGGCACACCCCGGCCCCGGCCCCGCCGCTCCTCCAGCCCCGGCCGAGCTCCACAAGTCTTTTGTGGAGCCATCTGAGCGCTTTCCACAGCGCTGATCCCTGATCACCTGGCAGAACGGGAATTAGCCCGCGGGGCTACCCTTTCCTTCCCAAAACAGCCCGGAGCCCGCATATAAACCCTGATCGTATCGCTGTCGATGCTATCGCTACCTAAGGCAGGTTTTCCTTCAGGAACTTGTCAGAATGTTTTCTTTTCGGTAGTTTAGACAAATATACAGGGAACTTAAATTTATCAAACAGATGAAGCCTCATTAATTAAGCAGGCCTGCTGATCTTACAGCGGATTATTTGTTGGGGCTTTTTTTTTTTTTTTTTCTCCAAGGGGCATTTTCTACAGCAGCTCTTCATTGCTATCAAGGTAAATCGACTTCAGCACAGGGTGGGGCAAGGAGGAGTTATTGCTTGAAAAGATGCTGTTTGTAAGATTACATAGTTTTTAAAATAAAATTATTCAGATCTGATTTTTAGCCCCCCCCCCCCCCCCCAATCCCTGAGACATTATAAAAGTTTGGGTTTTTTTAATTTTAAGACCTCCAGCTAAAGTAACACTGCAAGCAGAATGTAAGAGGTGTAGCCAGTATTTCATATAAACAGCCTTTCTTGTTTTAAGAACTCTTAAGTTCTTACAGAGTAAAAGACATCAGAATGCCTGCTCACAGTTAAGAAAACAACCTCTTCTAAATACTGGGAAGCAGGAGAAAAGAGGCTAACTATATGTTATACGTCAGTGTTCCCACAAAACATGTAACAGGAATGGTGAGAATTAGTAACTGTAGTCAAAGATCCTACGTGCTGAACATGAAAACCAAAAATCCAGAATAATGCAGATCTGTAAGACTTTTCTCATGCTGATACAATATAAAGCAGAGTATTTTAGATGGAAAATGCAATACAGGAACATATCAAACAAACTTTAATTTCACATTTATATCTTTCCATCATTAATGGTTTTTTTTTAGTTAAATGTAGGGGGGAATTAATGAAACATAATAGAAGGATATAAGCATATAAAAATTTTAAGCACTATCTCATATTTAAAATAATTTCCAATATATTTCAAAAATTCTTCAGGACCAAAAGAAAACTTAAGTCTCATTTATGATATCACATAAAATCACAATTCTAGTCAATTGCTTATATTAAAATCTGGCTCTAACAATTTGAGAGCACTGCTTTTCAACATTAATTTTTTTCCAGATAGGATTTGATAATCCCAGCTTTCAGACCCAGCTATGCCATTTTTAATACAGACAAGAACAATTTACTCAGTAAGAACAAAGAACTGAACCGGTGCTTAACACACAAGGTATTCTCTCTACAGACAAGCAGCAAAACACTACTTCTTCCAGCAGTACCCTTCCCAAAGAAATTATTACCCAGTTTAACATTAGGCAGATATTTAAAAAAAACAAGAACCATAACAATGCTTAAATAGTGAGAGTATTTACCAGTTGTCTCCTACTTTCGAAACGTTGCTGTAACACTGCAGAAAACATTCAAGTGCAATGGTATTACACTAATTGCACAACATTCCCTTTGAAATTGGAATTTTACTGAAGGTTACTAATTTTAACCAGAAGACAAGTAATCAAGTAACTCAGCGGAAATAAAGTTTGTGGAAATTATCAAGTCGGCTCCGAAACATATTTTAAAAGGGCAATTATGTTTTATGCTCAGGCACAATAAATAATAACGGGACAAGTAAAATGTGTTAGATAGTAATGTGACAGGAGTGCTGCAAACTTAGGAGTGTGGGAAGCTCAGTGCTGTTTTACACTAACATTTGCTAAAATCAGGAAAGTAAAATGAAGTATTAGGGCTAAAAGCCTTGCTGAACTTCCCTGCATTCATACAAGCCTGTGATTCAAGATGTCTTTATTTCAGACATGTCTCCTTGGAGCTTTATTCGCAGTGAGCTAATTAACATTCAAGTAGGGTTGAATTGTGGGAGGGGGAGAAAAAGAAGCAGGAAAGGAGGTGTCACCTATGTGAAATTCAGCAACATATATGGTCAGTGGCAAAGTTATTAAAGCAGCAACACTGCAGCCCAATAGAGGTAAAGGAAGTCAAGTGAAGAATTAAAGGTCTTGGGTAATTTGTCATCATCTCTCAGACCTCAGGGTCAATGATCTCTTACCTTTGGGTCGATTTTCTTAAAACTAGGATCTTCTTCATCCACCTCAAAGTAGAGCTCAGAAAGAGTGATGGAAAGGGTGCCTTTCACTACTACGGAGGGTGCCACAAGCTGAGCTGGTGTGCTGAGGGACACTGGACCTGCCAAAGCAGAAAAACACCAACAATGTTCAAACTGAAATGAATGCGAGTACAAATTATTCACTTTTCAGGCCAAGGACATTAAAATAAAGCAAAGAGCACAGCTCTTCCTTAAAGAGCAAACCCCTTTTTATCCTGGAAAAGAACATACGTAACAGATTTGCAGTGTCTCTGTGCAGCCGAACATTGAGGCAGCTGCAATTGCAAACTGCTGCATACATTACACAGAGCTGGCTTTAGCATGGCAGTCTTCAGCTTTTACTCAGATACATCTTCTGTCCAAGAGTTGCACACCTTCTGTTACATGAAATATACAGAGCGGACACACGAAATCTTACAGTCTGATGTGTTCTTTAGTTGCTGAGAAGTTTTGATAGCATTTCACAAAGATGAACACAGGAGTCAAGGCTCAAAGTTGTCTAACTGTGAAGTGTTCCCTCATGGATGCTAGAAATCTATGGTCAAGGTTACACAATGTTATAAAGCCTAAAGTAAAATGTTTTAAAGATGCTTTGGATTCCACATTAAATATTATTCAAGGATGCCATACAGTGTTAGTGTAGCTCGGGGACGGTGGGAGTAAACAGCTGGAGGGTTGGTTTCCAACTGAATGAATTTTTATTGGAATAATCACATCTCCACAGGGCTTATCACAGGGACAAATCAGACTACTACTGAAAACAATAGGTTCAGCATTATATAAACTAACACATACAGAATGAAAACAGGTTATGTTTGTCATCCAGCTGATTAAGAGGCAAGGAAATGAAGTTATATGGCTGCAGTATTATCTGACTTTTGTAAAACAGCGGAAGATACTAAAGTGAGATAGACAATTTTCTTATAATAAAGCATCTATAAATGAGGTACACACATTCAGGTAATCAACGTGAGAATAACTGACAAAAAATTCAGATGAATTGTCATTTCCATTGATTGTTAGAAGGGTGACGGTCCTTAATCTCGCATCAATCTCAATGTGTGCCACTAGGACAAAAGAAGAGATGCTCTGATGAGATCAGAGCAGCTTTGCCCTCTATTCCCAATGTACAAATACATTGTGTCTGCAGATGGGCATGAGATAGCTGCGGAACTGCCATGATTTCCCAAAGCTCACCCCCACAAATGGACGAAATAAGAAGCTATGTGTTCTTTTGCTGTCCCCCTTTGCCCTCTGTACATTAGCATGTAATCCAGAGGAGAAATAACATTTTTTCAATCACTCACAGACATTCAATTACAGGGCAAGCAGACAGACGCAGAAGCTGGGGCAATCCAGGTCCTGTAGAAGACCCCTGACAATTTCCACTTCATTTCTAACCCACACTACCTTATTAGTGAGGATTACTTCTTAATCCTATTGCCATTGTCAAGATTATATAATTATACTCCCCTTTCACCTCTATTACAGTATGAATGTATTACTCAAACCAATGAATGAATAATAGAAAGAAACATGAAGAAAGCTGTTGAGAAGGATGCTCATGGCAGAAAGGGAAAAATAAAAGATTCATATGAAAAAATGCCTTTGCATCATT